GCTGCCACCTATGGGTCAGATGATTGCCTGCCACCATTAAGCAATTGGGAATTAAATATAAAACATTTTTTTCCTAAAAAGTGTAAAATCTTGGAGAAAAAATTTGTCACGAAAATAAATTGTCACGCACAACGAGTCTGTGTGCAAAATGTCAGCTCGATTGGATCATGGGAAGTGGGTTAAAAAACGACCGAAAGATTTGGACGGTCGTAAGCGCGCAAGCAAGCAAACTTAATATAAAGGATTTAAAAAGTAAGTAGCGAAGCGTGCACACGACTGTACATTGCAACACATTTACACAACACACAAACTCAGAGTTGAATAACAATCGTCAAAAAACAAGTGTAACATCTGTACTAAAGTCAAGGCGTGTACATTAAAAAAAACATTAAGTCTTTTCCTCACTCTCTCTCCTACTACAAAGTCAACTGTATACGTCACTGCAATGCCATTGACGAGCAGTGGAAGAGTAGGCCAAGTTCACTTGGTAACTTTTTAACACAATCGAAGTACGCGAAGCTTCGTAAAACTGATCGCGAGAAAGTCATATACACACTTATATATATATAATATACACACTGTGTGTGTAAATTGTAATGTGTGTAATGTAGTTATACTGTATATGTGTGTGTAATGTAGTTATACTGTATATGTGTGTGTGTAATGTAGTTATACTGTATGTGTGTGTGTGTGTAATGTAGTTATACTGTATGTGTGTGTGTGTAATGTAGTTATACTGTATATGTGTGTGTGTAATGTAGTTATACTGTATGTGTGTGTGTATAATGTAGTTATACTGTATATGTGTGTGTGTAATGTAGTTATACTGTATATATGTGTGTGTAATGTAGTTATACTGTATTTGTGTGTGTGTAATGTAGTTATACTGTATATGTGTGTGTGTAATGTAGTTATACTGTATGTGTGTGTGTATAATGTAGTTATACTGTATATGTGTGTGTGTAATGTAGTTATACTGTATGTGTGTGTGTGTGTAATGTAGTTATACTGTATATATGTGTGTGTAATGTAGTTATACTGTATATGTGTGTGTGTGTAATGTAGTTATACTGTATATGTGTGTGTGTAATGTAGTTATACTGTATATGTGTGTGTGTGTAATGTAGTTATACTGTATATGTGTGTGTGTGTAATGTAGTTATACTGTATATGTGTGTGTAATGTAGTTATACTGTATATGTGTGTGTGTAATGTAGTTATACTGTATATGGTGTGTGTGTAATGTAGTTATACTGTATATGTGTGTGTGTGTAATGTAGTTATACTGTATATGTGTGTGTAATGTAGTTATACTGTATATGTGTGTGTAATGTAGTTATACTGTATATGTGTGTGTGTAATGTAGTAATACTGTATATATATGTGTGTAATGTAGTTATACTGTATATATATGTGTGTAATGTAGTAATACTGTATATGTGTGTGTGTAATGTAGTTATACTGTATATATATGTGTGTAATGTAGTAATACTGTATATATGTGTGTGTAATGTAGTTATACTGTATATGTGTGTGTGTAATGTAGTTATACTGTATATATGTGTGTGTAATGTAGTTATACTGTATATATGTGTGTGTAATGTAGTTATACTGTATATGTGTGTGTGTAATGTAGTTATACTGTATATGTGTGTGTGTGTAATGTAGTTATACTGTATAGATATGTGTGTAATGTAGTTATACTGTATATGTGTGTGTGTAATGTAGTTATACTGTATATGTGTGTGTGTAATGTAGTTATACTGTATATGTGTGTGTGTGTAATGTAGTTATACTGTATATATATGTGTGTAATGTAGTTATACTGTATATATGTGTGTGTAATGTAGTTATACTGTATATGTGTGTGTGTGTAATGTAGTTATACTGTATATATATGTGTGTAATGTAGTTATACTGTATATGTGTGTGTGTAATGTAGTTATACTGTATGTGTGTGTGTGTAATGTAGTTATACTGTATATGTGTGTGTGTAATGTAGTTATACTGTATATGTGTGTGTGTAATGTAGTTATACTGTATATGTGTGTGTGTAATGTAGTTATACTGTATATGTGTGTGTGTAATGTAGTTATACTGTATATGTGTGTGTGTGTGTAATGTAGTTATACTGTATATGTGTGTGTGTAATGTAGTTATACTGTATATGTGTGTGTGTGTGTAATGTAGTTATACTATATATGTGTGTGTAATGTAGTTATACTGTATATGTGTGTGTGTAATGTAGTAATACTGTATATATATGTGTGTAATGTAGTTATACTGTATATATATGTGTGTAATGTAGTAATACTGTATATGTGTGTGTGTAATGTAGTTATACTGTATATATATGTGTGTAATGTAGTAATACTGTATATATGTGTGTGTAATGTAGTTATACTGTATATGTGTGTGTGTAATGTAGTTATACTGTATATGTGTGTGTAATGTAGTTATACTGTATATATGTGTGTGTAATGTAGTTATACTGTATATGTGTGTGTGTAATGTAGTTATACTGTATATGTGTGTGTGTGTAATGTAGTTATACTGTATAGATATGTGTGTAATGTAGTTATACTGTATATGTGTGTGTGTAATGTAGTTATACTGTATATGTGTGTGTGTAATGTAGTTATACTGTATATGTGTGTGTGTGTGTAATGTAGTTATACTGTATATATATGTGTGTAATGTAGTTATACTGTATATATGTGTGTGTAATGTAGTTATACTGTATATGTGTGTGTGTGTAATGTAGTTATACTGTATATATATGTGTGTAATGTAGTTATACTGTATATGTGTGTGTGTAATGTAGTAATACTGTATATGTGTGTGTGTAATGTAGTTATACTGTATATATGTTTGTAATGTAGTTATACTGTATATATATGTGTGTAATGTAGTTATACTGTATATATGTGTGTGTAATGTAGTTATACTGTATATGTGTGTGTGTGTGTAATGTAGTTATACTGTATATATATGTGTGTAATGTAGTTATACTGTATATGTGTGTGTGTAATGTAGTAATACTGTATATGTGTGTGTGTAATGTAGTTATACTGTATATGTGTGTGTGTAATGTAGTTATACTGTATGTGTGTGTGTAATGTAGTAATACTGTATGTGTGTAATGTAGTAATACTGTATATGTGTGTGTGTAATGTAGTTATACTGTATGTGTGTAATGTAGTTATACTGTATATGTGTTTGTGTATAAAGTGTAATGTAGTTATACTGTATATGTGTTTGTGTATAAAGTGTAATGTAGTTATACTGTATATGTGTTTGTGTATAAAGTGTAATGTAGTTATAGATGTGTGTTTGTGTATAAAGTGTAATGTAGTTATACTGTATATGTATAAAGTGTAATGTAGTTATACTGTATGTGTGTAAAGTGTAATGTAGTTATACTGTATGTGTATAAAGTGTAATGTAGTTATACTGTATGTGTATAAAGTGTAATGTAGTTATACTGTATATGTATAAAGTGTAATGTAGTTATACTGTATGTGTGTAAAGTGTAATGTAGTTATACTGTATGTGTGTAAAGTGTAATGTAGTTATACTGTATATGTATAAAGTGTAATGTAGTTATACTGTATGTGTGTAAAGTGTAATGTAGTTATACTGTATGTGTATAAAGTGTAATGTAGTTATACTGTATGTGTATAAAGTGTAATGTAGTTATACTGTATGTGTATAAAGTGTAATGTAGTTATACTGTATATGTATAAAGTGTAATGTAGTTATACTGTATGTGTATAAAGTGTAATGTAGTTATACTGTATATGTATAAAGTGTAATGTAGTTATACTGTATGTGTGTAAAGTGTAATGTAGTTATACTGTATGTGTGTAAAGTGTAATGTAGTTATACTGTATGTGTATAAAGTGTAATGTAGTTATACTGTATGTGTGTAAAGTGTAATGTAGTTATACTGTATGTGTATAAAGTGTAATGTAGTTATACTGTATGTGTGTAAAGTGTAATGTAGTTATACTGTATATGTGTATAAAATGTAATGTAGTTATACTGTATATGTATAAAGTGTAATGTAGTTATACTGTATGTGTATAAAGTGTAATGTAGTTATACTGTATGTGTATAAAGTGTAATGTAGTTATACTGTATGTGTGTAAAGTGTAATGTAGTTATACTGTATGTGTGTAAAGTGTAATGTAGTTATACTGTATGTGTATAAAGTGTAATGTAGTTATACTGTGTGTGTATAAAGTGTAATGCAGTTATATATGTGTATGTTTGTGTGTAAAGTGTAGTTATATAAACATTGCACTGTACCTTCTTTATTGACGGGCATCTTTAAATGTCCCTTGGAGGCGATGTTCGTGGCGCGATTGTTGAAAGTTTTACAAACAAAAAAAACTTTAAAACAAAATAAAAACTCGTCTCACTCTCCTCAGATATTCAAAGCGTTTGACCGCAATTCCCTCAAAAAAATAATAACTAAACACAGCAACAACAAGAATAACTAAATAAAAACTACGTTAGCTCTCAAACCAACACACACAACAGCTGCAATAATAACAACAAAATAAAACAAAAACTACGTTAGCAAACACAAGCGAAGATGTTTACAAAGACGACGACGAAGACGACGAAGAAGTGTGAGAGAAACCTCGTTAAAGTAACGAGAGACAGAGAAGAGGTTACGAATGGTGGATTCCCTCGTAAATTAAATAGTTTGTTGATGATGATGATGGTGGTGATGGTGAGGAAGTCGTCGTAGTTGTTTCGATTCACTCTCCTCTCTAAATCTCTCAGTATCCACAACCACAGCAGCCGACACAGCCTTCAAAACTTATTCTCTCCCCCTCCCTCCCTTACCACAACCAACCACAACCCACCACCACCAACAACAACAACAACAACTCCACAAATGGCGGCAAACGGCGATGACGACGAAATAAAGCGATGGGGGTGAAGGGCGGGAGAGGAAACCTCCCCCACGCCTCTCCAGAAGCCGCCACAGTCGCCTCGACCATCTTACTGAGGGAAATGTGAAGTCTGCAAACACATTGGGTGAGGTTATCGTCGAGGAATTGTAATATAAAATATATAATATACGGTGATTGTGGAGGTCTGAGAGTATAAATCTTCCCTTTCCTCTCTAACTCCTCAGCCGTAGCCGCTAGAATCGCCTGGATCATCTTGCTGAGGGAAATGTGAACTCTGTAAACACACTGGGTGAGGTTGTTGTCAAGGAATTGTAATATAATAAAACTATTGTATACACGGTGAATGTGGATATCTGAGAGGATAAATCTTCCCTTTCCTCTCTAACTCCTCAGCCGTAGCCGCTAGAATCGCCTGGATCATCTTACTGAGGGAAATGTGAAGTCTGCAAACACACTGGGTGAGGGTGTCGTCAAGGAATTTTAATATAATAACAATCTTGTATACACAGTGATTGTGGAGGTCTGAGAAGATTAATCTTCCCTTTCCTCTCTAGCTCCGAAGCCGAAGCCGCTAGCAACGAGTGGATCATCTTGCTGAGGGAAATGTGAAGTCTGCAAACACACTCGGTGAGGTTGTCAAGGAATTGTAATATAATAAAACTATTGTATACACGGTGATTGTGGAGCTCTGAGAGTATAAATCTTCCCTTTCCTCTCTAACTCCTCAGCCGAAGCCGCTAGAATCGCCTGGATCATCTTGCTGAGGGAAATGCGAAGTCTGCAAACACACTGGCTGAGGTTGTCGTCAAGGAAATTAAACATAACACGTGCGTATATGCATTATAGTCAGCATCTGTATTTATTACTGCGGGAGGAAATCCGATAAGCTTTAAAGCTCTTCCCGCCCCCCAAAAAAATGCTCCAGTATGTTAAAATAAACTATACAAACTCACGATAGGTGTATCGTTGGACTTTTTTCGCACCGTACGTAGGCAACCGTGTTAATGTAGAAACGGGTAAGTCGGTGTATTGATTTGTGTTTGTGCAGTATTTTTAATTACTCATTTGGTGACGGCGATTTATTTTTTGCGCTGATTTATCTTTGCTTCCATTGATGTTTGATATTTCTACTCACCTCACCCACCAACACCTCCTACTCACTCACCCATTCACATACCTACTCACCCACCCACTCACCCATTCACCTACTCACCTCACCCACCAACACCTCCTACTCACTCACCCATTCACCTACTCACCCACCCACTCACCCATTCACCTACTCACCCACCCACTCACCTACTCACCCACCCATTCACCTACTCACCCACCCATTCACCTACTCACCCACCCATTCACCTACTCACCCACTCACCCATTCACCTACTCACCCACCCACTCACCTACTCACCCACCCATTCACCTACTCACCCACCCATTCACCTACTCACCCACTCACTCACCCATTCACCGACTCACCCACCCACTCACCTACTCACCCATTCACCTACTCACCCACTCACCCATTCACCTAATCACCCACCCACCCACTCACCTACTCACCCACCCATTCACCTACTCACCCACCCATTCACCTACTCACCCACTCACTCACCCATTCACCTACTCACCCACCCACTCACCTACTCACCCACCCATTCACCTACTCAGCCACCCATTCACCTACTCACCCACCCACGCACCTACTCACCCATCCATTCACCTACTCACCAACCCATTAACCTACACACCAATTCACCTACTCAACCATTTACCTACTCACCCATTCATTCACTCACCGCCCCCACTCAACCACACATTCACTCTCTCACCCACCCACTCATTGATTAATTCACTCACCAACCATCTCACCCATTCACCTACTCGCCCATCTATTCACCCACTCATTCACTCACCACCCCCACTCAACCACACATTCACTCTCTCACCCACGCACTCATTGATTCATTCACTCACCAACCCTTTCACCCATTCACCTACTCACCCACTCATTCACTAATCACCCCCACTCAACCACATATTCACTCACCCCCCCCCCCCATTCACTCTCACCCACCCATTGATTAATTCACTCACCCCCCCCAACCCTCTCAATCACCTACTCGCTCACTCACCACCCCCACTCACCCACTCATTCACTCTCTCACCCACCCACTCATTGATTCGTTCACTCACCAATCCTCTCACCTACTCACCGCCCCTACTCAACCACACATTCACTCACCCACCCATTCACTCACCCACCCATTCACTCACCCACTCATTGATTCATTCACTCACCAACCCTCATCCATTCACCTACTCATCCACTCACCACCCCCACTCAGTCACTCTCTCACACACCCACTCATTGATTCATTCACTCACCCACCCATTCACTCACCCACTCATTGATTCATTCACTCACCAATCCTCTCACCTACTCACTGCCCCTACTCAACCACACATTCACTCACCCACCCATTCACTCACCCACTCATTAATTCATTCACTCACCAATCCTCTCACCTACTCACTGCCCCTACTCAACCACACATTCACTCACCCACTCATTGATTCATTCACTCACCAACCCTCATCCATTCACCTACTCATCCACTCACCACCCCCACTCAGTCACTCTCTCACACACCCACTCATTGATTCATTCACTCACCCACCCATTCACTCACCCACTCATTGATTCGTTCACTCACCAATCCTCTCACCTACTCACTGCTCCTACTCAACCACACATTCACTCACCCACCCATTCACTCACCCACCCATTCACTCACCCACACATTCACTCACCCACCCATTCACTCACCCACTCATTGATTCATTCACTCACCAATCCTCTCACCTACTCACTGCCCCTACTCAACCACCCATTCACTCACCCACTCATTGATTCATTCACTCACCAACCCTCATCCATTCACCTACTCATCCACTCATTCACTCACCACCCCCACTCAGTCACTCTCTCACCCACCCACTCATTGATTCATTCACTCACCAATCCTCTCACCTACTCACCGCCCCTACTCAACCACACATTCACTCACCCACCCATTCACTCACCCACTCATTGATTCATTCACTCACCAATCCTCTCACCTACTCACCGCCCCTACTCAACCACACATTCACTCACCCACCCATTCACTCACCCACTCATTAATTCATTCACTCACCAATCCTCTCACCTACTCACCGCCCCTACTCAACCACACATTCACTCACCCACCCATTCACTCACCCACTCATTGATTCATTCACTCACCAACCCTCATCCATTCACCTACTCATTCACTCACCACCCCCACTCAGTCACTCTCTCACCCACTCACTCATTGATTCATTCACTCACCAATCCTCTCACCTACTCACCGCCCCTACTCAACCACACATTCACTCACCCACCCATTCACTCACCCACTCATTAATTCATTCACTCACCAATCCTCTCACCTACTCACTGCCCCAACTCAACCACACATTCACTCACCCACCCATTCACTCACCCACTCATTGATTCATTCAGTCACCAATCCTCTCACCTACTCACTGCCCCAACTCAACCACACATTCACTCACCCACCCATTCACTCACCCACCCATTCACTCACCCACTCATTGATTCATTCACTCACCAATCCTCTCACCTACGCACCACCCCTACTCAACCACACATTCACTCACCCACCCATTCACTCACCCACTCATTAATTCGTTCACTCACCAATCCTCTCACCTACTCACTGCCCCTACTCAACCACACATTCACTCGCCCACCCATTCACTCACCCACTCATTGATTCATTCACTCACCAATCCTCTCACCTACTCACCGCCCCAACTCAACCACACATTCACTCACCCACCCATTCACTCACCCACTCATTGATTCATTCACTCACCAATCCTCTCACCTACTCACTGCCCCAACTCAACCACACATTCACTCACCCACTCATTGATTCATTCAGTCACTCACCCAACAATTCATTCACCCAGGTCACGGTTGCGAATGACAGTCCTCTATCACGTACATTTGTAGTGTACCAATTCAGAGACACTAACTAGTAGGAGGCGTTTTCCCTCTTGTTTATTCCGGTTCTCACAGCCACGTGGGATCACTCCATACCGGTTCGGGACAGCCAACATGCCTCCATGACTAGGCCTCGGCAAGGTAAGGTAAAAGTTAAAAGGTAAAAACAACGAGCATACCTTTACCCTACCCTTTACCCTTACCCCATACAAATAACCCGATTACAGGGTAATTACTGGGGTACTACTACACATCAACAATGTTTGTAATGGTAAATGCGAGGTAGAGCACTTTATTCATATAGAATACTCTCGATGATTCCAATTTTACACGCTTTCTTTTAACTCACTCTGTCTGTTGTTGTCGTCATCGTCGTTGTCGTATCCTCAAATCTTGTAACTCAATTTTAACCCACGTCCCAATGTGGTATCGGCTGCAAACTTGGTATACTTATGTCATTCTTATGACAACACTATATTCTATCATAAAATATTTATTTTTAAACATTTTTACGTTACGTTTCGGCTTGGGTCTAATTGTCCACGCTCAACTAACGTTGGCTGTAATTGGCCACGGCCCCTTACGTTATGGCAAGCTTCGGGGTCACTTCCTGGAGTCGTGGAGTTCTGCCATTACTAGTACATTTCATAAAAGCGTGTTTAAAAAAGTAAAAAAAAAATATTACTTATTAAATGGAGGCCACGGACTGCGCCACGGAGCTTTTAGCGGTAAACAAGGCACCGTATTTACCGGGTATTACTTCGCGCTACCCTTACCGTACCGGATAATTCTTCCGAGCTACCTTTACCCTACCCTTTACCTTACCCCTTGGCATGTCGACACCTTACCTTTACCCTTTTACCCGGTAAAACGGGTAATTTACCTTACCTGGCCGAGGCCTATCCATGACCCACAGCTTGAAGAGGCGAAGACCACGACGACAGCAGCACGACGAGTTCCACTCCCGATGGCAGCAGCCCCGACTGTGGGTCGGAGCTCGTCCTTTTATTCAACGGTTTTATTTAACTTCACTAGTGTTTAAATTGTGATTTAAAGCTTTCGCGACTGCAGGGATTCATATTCTTGGTTCTTTCGGTAAAGCACGTAGAAGGGAAATAATAAAATAATAATAAAATATTAAACAATCAAAATTAACACGTAGCAGGCTTTTGCGACCAATATTATTAATAATCAACGTTTTTGGGTTTAGATCGCGTTATTTATAAATGTGTCGTAACCCTCCACCACCCGACACGGCCAATCAGTAAAAAAAGTGTCATGTTGACAAAAGACAAAATAGTTCACTGCTTTAGCCCACCGGTGTGTTGAAGCGTGAAACCACAACATTTACAACACACTGGTGGGCTAAAGCAGTGAACTATTTGTCTTTTGTCAACGTGACACTTTTTTTACTGATTGGCCGTGTCGGGTGGTGGAGGGTTACGACACATTTATAAATAACGCGATCTAAACCCAAAAACGTTGATTATGAACAATCAAAATTCTCACGACGTTTCGACTGCAACACAAGCAATCATCATCAGGTGTGAAATCCACAGCAAGAAAATTTGAAAAAAAGTGGCGGTTTCTCCTAATGTCAGCACCACGAACAGCGATTTTTAAAATCCTTTATATTAAGTTCGCTTGCTTGCTTACGACCGTGCAAATCTTTCGGTCGTTTTTTAACCCACTTCCCGTGATCCAATCGAGCTGACATTTTCCACACAGACTCGTTGTGCGTGACAATTAATTTTCGTAAATTTTTTTTCCAAAATTTTACACTTTTTAGGACAAAAATATAATATTTCATTACCAATTGCTTAATGGTGCAATGCAATCATCTGACCCATAGGTGGCAGCCATCTCAAGCCAGAGGACGAGAGGACTCTAGCCGCCACGCATATAAAGGATTTATAGTGAAAAACTTCGTTTTTACGGGTTATACTTGTTCGTGGTCAAATCTTGTCATCTAAAAGTTAGTCGACTTCCCGTTGCCCAATCAATTCCACATTTGGCACACGTGCTCAGATCAGGTGACGATGCGTGCCCGTATCAAAATCGGCATCAGTTCATCAATGAATTGCCTCCTTTCAAGCAATTTCAATATTAGTATGGACGGCTTATTAATTATATATTTTTGCGCGGGGTCGAAAACGCCCCGGTCCCTAAACTGGGGAATCATCTCGCACAAAAAGCAGGCACCACGTGTCTCAGGCGCCATTGACGTACTTCTCGACCGTCAGTTAAACAAAGTTGTTAATAAAACCGTTTTTTTACTTTTTTAAAGGAGTTTATTTATTCCTGTTCACATACCTGTCAACCCCTTATCAGTCCCCTAACGTACAGTGAGGGAAAAAAGTATTTGATCCCCTGCTGATTTCGTACGTTTGCCCACTGACAGAAATGATCAGTCTATAATTTTAATGGTGGGTTTATTTGAACAGTGAGAGACAGAATAACAACCACAAAATCCATAAAAACGCATGTCAAAAATTTATAAATGGATTTGCATTTTAATGAGGGAAATAAGTATTTGACCCCTCTGCAAAACATGACTTAGTACTTGGTGGCAAAACCCTTGTTGGCAATCACAGAGGTCAGACGTTTCTTGTAGTTGGCCACCAGGTTTGCACACATCTCAGGAGGGATTTTGTCCCACCACTCCTCTTTGCAGATCTTCTCCAAGTCATTAAGGTTTCGAGGCTGACGTTTGGCAACTCGAACCTTCAGCTCCCTCCACAGATTGTCGATGGGATTAAGGTCTGGAGACTGGCTTTTATACAGGTAACAAGCTGAGATGAGGAGCACTCCCTTTAAGAGTGTGCTCTTAATCTCAGCTCGTTACCTGTATAAAAGACACCTGGGAGCCAGAAATCTTTCTGATTGAGAGGGGGTCAAATACTTATTTCCCTCATTAAAATGCAAATCAATTTATAACATTTTTGACATGCGTTTTTCAGGATTTTGTTGTTGTTATGCTGTCTCTCATTGTTCAAATAAACCTACCATTAAAATTATAGACTGATCATTTCTTTGTCAGTGGGCAAACGTACAAAATCAGCAAGGGATCAAATACTTTTTTCCCTCTATATTACGGACCAATGCAGACCTTATTGGTCACACCGTGCCCCTCATACATGTTCAACGTTCACCCTACAAAGTCCCATCGCAAGGAGAGAAACACAAAAAAATAGACACTCACCAATACTACACTCACCACTAGTATACTCACCACAACACTCACTACTAGTTCACTCACCACTACTCACCACAACACTCACTACTAGTTTCACTCACCACTACACTCACTACTAGTACACTCACCACTACTACACTCACCACTACACTCACTACAACTACACTCACCACTACACTCATCACTACCACACTCACCACTACTACACTCACCACAACACTCACTACTAGTTCACTCACCAATACTACACTCAGCACTACTACACTCACCACAACACTCACCACTAGTACACTCTCCACTACACTCACCAATACTACACTCACCACTACTACACTCACCACTACACTCACCACTAGTACACTCATCACAACACTCACTACTAGTACACTCACCACTACACTCACCAATACTACAATCACCACTACTACACTCACCACTACACTCACCACTACTACACTCACCACAACACTCACTACTAGTACACTCACCACTACACTCATCAATACTACACTCACCATTATTACACTCACCACAACACTCACTACAAGTACACTCACCACTACACTCGCCAATACTACAATCACAAGGAGAGAAACTCAAACAAATAGACAAAAAAATAATGCCCGTATTTTGAAACGGCTGTACGCCGGTATGGACATGAAAACTGATTTCCCGAGTACAGGAATACGGGGTAAAGCATACGGGTTGACGGCTAAGCATTAAGGGCATGAGATGTGTTGAAATATTTTTTAAAATAAAAATTTGTCCGGAGCAATTGAGTAAAAAAATAAAACCGCCCTTCAAAAAAAAATGTGTAAGCGTGCTTAACGAAAAACGCCGATCTATATATAAAACACAAAATTTCACTTTTATAAATTACCAGTTCATGAAGGTTGTCTTCGCCAGGCAGAAAAAGTTGTCAATAAATATAATAATGAACCTGATGTGATTTTTTGTTACAAATTTATTTTCTATATACAATCAAGACGCCAACAACTTCTCCAAACATTTGTAAATTTCTGCAAAAACGCACAAAAATTGTTGACTTGATTCAACTTCTTATACATGATTTGGAGCTTTCGTGACTGCAGGAATTACTTTTACTGGTAGGAACGAAGTGAACCAGCCTACAATAGATTATATCGTCCGTCCGTCCGATGTCCGATTAGGTGTAGCAACATCGCCCCCTACTGCAAACACTTGGCAGGACCCTACAAAAACCTTTACACTCAGTGAGGCTTTCCTGGCTAAACAAGTGTAATAATACATTATGTTTATATTCTTTGGTTATTCGTTCCTACCAGCCCACCCCGCAGGGACCTGTTTGGTTCTTTCGGTAAAGTCACGCAGAAAGAGAATAAATTAAAGAATAGAATATGACGTTTCGATTACAACACAAGCAATCATCTTATACTTTATTTGGAGCTTTCGTGACTGCAGGAATTACTTTAATTTTTTTTTCATTAATTCGTACCTGATGATGATTGCTTATGTTGCAATCGAAACGTATTCTATTATTTAATTTATATTCTTTCTACGAAAGAACCAAAAAGTCAACTTATATTTAAAGACGTACAGTCATCGGAAACCGCTCAATTTTAAATATTCAGTTATTTTTATTGTTAGAACAAAAAATGTATAGTCTCTATAAGGGGAAGCTCTCCTATCTTTGACCGTTTTCGAATTATTCAAACTTGAACATCGTAAACTGCAGATTTTTGTCGTTCAAAAGTTCACATGAATCCGAAATATGTCAAAAACAAAGATAGAGCCGCAGTGGTTCTCGTTTAAATTTTACTCGCTGTTTAAAGCTCTATCAAACGAAAAAAAAACCTTCACTTCAGTTACCCCCCCTACCACTTCACTAGGATTCAGGTGAATGGAATTTATGGGATTTTTAGGGGAAAATTGTTCAGTTCTAGAAAATGATCCGTAACCTTGTGAGACTGCCCCTATAAGAAGACAGCTGCCTCAATCCCATAGGCCCCATCACTTCACTAGGATTCAGGTAAATGGAATTTATAGATTTTTAGAGGGAAATTGTTCATTTCTTGAGAATGATCCGTAACCCTGGGAGACCGCCCCTATAAGAAGACAGCTGCCTCAATCCCATAGACCCCATCACTTCACTAGGATTCAGGTAAATGGAATGTATTATAGGGATTTTTAGGGGAAAATTGTTCAGTTCTAGAGAACGATCCGTAACCCTGTGAGACTGCCCCTATAAGAAGACAGATGCCACAATCCCATAGGCCCCATTACTTCACTAGGATTCAGGTAAATGGAATTTATTGATTTTTAGGGGAAATTGTTCAGTTCTAGAGAACGATCCGTAACCCTGTGAGACTGCCCCTATAAGAAGACAGCTACCACAATCCCATAGGCCCCATCACTTCACTAGGATTCAGGTAAATGGAATTTATATATTTTAGGGGAAAATTGTTCAGTTCCTGAGAACGATCCGTAACTTTATGAGACTGCCCCTATAAGAAGACAGCTGCCACATTCCCATAGGCCCCATCACTTCACTAGGATTCAGGTAAATGGAATTTATTGATTTTTAGGGCAAATTGTTCAGTTCTATAGAACCATCCGTAACCCTGTGAGACTGCCCCTATAAGAAGACAGCTGCCTCAATCCCATAGGCCCCATCACTTCACTAGGATTCAGGTAAATGGAATTTATTGTTGATTTTTAGGGCAAATTGTTCAGTTCTATAGAACCATCCGTAACCCTGTGAGACTGCCCCTATAAGAAGACAGCTGCCTCAATCCCATAGGCCCCATCACTTCACTTGGATTCAGGTAAATGGAATTTATTGTTGATTTTTAGGGGAAAATTGTTCAGTTATATAGAACAATCCGTAACCCTGGGAGACTGCCCCTATAAAAAGACGGCTGCCACAATCCCATAGGCCCCATCACTTCACTAGGATTCAGGTAAATGGAATTTATGGGATTTTTAGGGTGAAATTGTTCAGTTCTATAGAACGATCTGTAATCCTGTGAGACTGCTCCTATAGGAAGACAGTTGCCACAATCCCATAGGCCCCATCACTTCACTAGGATTCAGGTAAATGGAATGTATTATGGGATTTTTAGGGGAAATTGTTCAGTTCTAGAGAACGATCCGTAACCCTGTGAGACCGCCCCCTATAAGAAGACAGCTACCACATTCCGATAGACTCCATCACTTAAATTTCTATTTAAAGCTTTCGTGACTGCAGTGATTCGTATTCTTGGTTCTTTCGGTAAAGTCACGTAGAAGGGAAATAATAATTGTATTGTTATATTTGTATTATTTTATAATAATTTAATTGTATTTTATTATTTTATTATTTCCCTTTTCCGTGACTTTACCGAAAGAACTAAGAATATGAACCCATCACTTTAGTTAGCCCCTAACCAAGATGGCAGCCGCGGTGACTCACAACTTCCGGAAGTCGTCATACCGGAAGTCGTCTCCCCCCCCCCCCCTCACGCGAGCACGTGACCGTGCCCCACCCCTCCCCCCCCCGCAACGACGCGCCCGCAAATCCCAAGGACGCAACGTGATTGGTCCGCTGGGATGGAGGGGGGCGTGGTAGAAGGGGTGGAGAGGGGGGGGGGGTAAGTTAGAGGGGAGGGGGGGGTAGGGGGAGGGTAGGTAGAGGGGAGGGGTGGGGGTAGAGGGGGTGGTGGAGGGGGGAGAGAGGGGAGGGGCAAATCCCAAGGACGCAACGCGATTGGTCCGCTGGGTTAGAGGGGGCGTGGTGGAAGGGGGTGGAGAGGGGGGGGTAGAGGGGGGGTTGGCAGGTTAGAGGGGAGGGGGTGGGGTAGGGGGTGGGGGTAGAGGGGGTGGTGGAGGGGGAGAGAGGGGAGGGGAAATCCCAAGGACGCAACGCGATTGGTCCGCTGGGATGGAGGGGGGCCTGGTGGAAGGGGGTGGAGAGGGGGAGGGGGGGTAGGGGGAGAGAGGGGAGGGAGGGGAGGGGGTGGTGGAGGGGGGAGAGAGGGGAGGGGGAGGGGGGATTGAAGGGGAGGGGGGATAGGGGGAGGGGAGGTAGAGGGGAGGGGGTGGGGGGAGAGAGGGGAGGGATTAGAGGGGTGGGGGTAGAGGGGAGGGGGGAGAGAGGGGAGGGGGGATTGATGGGGGGGGTGGGGGTAGAGGGGGTGGTGGAGGGGGGAGAGAGGGGAGGGGGGGAGGGGGAGAGAGGGGAGGGGGGAGGGGGAGAGAGGGGAGGGGGGAGAGAGGGGAGGGGGGATTGATGGGGGGGTGGGGGTAGAGGGGGTGGTGGAGGGGGGGAGAGAGGGGAGGGGGGAGGGGGAGAGAGGGGAGGGGGGAGGGGGAGAGAAGGGAGGGGGAGAGAGGGGAGGGGGAGAGAGGGGAGGGGGGAGGGGGGAGAGAGGGGAGGGGGGAGGGGGAGAGAGGGGAGAGAGGGGAGGGGGGGAGAGAGGGGAGGGGGGAGAGAGGGGAGGGGGGAGGGGGGAGAGAGGGGAGGGGGGAGGGGGGATTGATGGGGGGGTGGGGGTAGAGGGGGGTGGTGGAGGGGGGAGAGAGGGGAGGGGGGAGGGGGAGAGAGGGGAGGGGGGAGGGGGAGAGAGGGGAGGGGGGAGGGGGGAGAGGGGAGGGGGGAGAGGGGAGGGGGGAGAGAGGGGAGGGGGGAGAGAGGGGAGGGGGGAGAGAGGGGAGGGGGGAGGGGGGAGAGGGGAGGGGGGAGAGAGGGGAGGGGGGAGAGAGGGGAGGGGGGAGGGGGGAGAGGGGAGGGGGGAGAGAGGGGAGGGGGGAGGTCGTGGGGGGGGGGGGGGGGATTGAAGGGGGGGGAGAGAGGGGAGGGGGAGGGATTAGAGGAGGGGGTGGGGGTAGAGGGTGGAGGGGGGAGAGAGGAGGTGGGAGAGAGGGGAGGGGGGAGGGAGGCAGCTGATCACGTGCCCTCAAAGTGCACCTGGCCTGGCACAGGCGGCCTTTGTGACGTCACCGTCACTTTAAAAAATAAAACATTCTTCAAATCGCTTTAAACTATTGTTGTTATTGTAGTGCGTATTTAATGTGGCGCTGCTACACTCTGATGTTGTAGGAGAAAAACATTTATAAAAACATATATTTAATTAAGTAGAACGTTTCGGATTGAAAGCTTCTTTCGTGACTGCAGGGATTCATCTTCTTGGTTCTTTCGGTAAAGTCATCACGTAGAAGGGAAATAATAAAATAATAAAATAAAACATAATAAAATACAATTCTCACGACGTTTCGGCCACAACGCAAGCAGCCGTCCTCAGGTGAAGAACAGGGCTGTCGGAAAGACAGTGTCATTCACATCATCAACATCATCATCATTCACATCATCATCATTAACATCATCATCATTAACATCATCATCATTAACATCATCATCAACATCATCATCTACATCATCAACATCATTAACATCATCATCAACATCATCAACATCATCATCTTTTTTTTATTTAAAGCTTTCGTGACTGCAGGGATTCATCTTCTTGGTTCTTTCGGTAAAGTCATCACGTAGAAGGGAAATAATAAAATAATAAAATAAAACATAATAAAATACAATTCTCACGACGTTTCGGCCACAACGCAAGCAGCCGTCCTCAGGTGAAGAACAGGGCTGTCGGAAAGACAGTGTCATTCACATCATCAACATCATCATCATTAACATCATCATCATTAACATCAACATCATTAACATCATCATCATTAACATCATCATCAACATCATCATCTACATCATCAACATCATTAACATCATCATCAACATCATCAACATCATCATCTTTTTTTTATTTAAAGCTTTCGTGACTGCAGGGATTCATCTTCTTGGTTCTTTCGGTAAAGTCATCACGTAGAAGGGAAATAATAAAATAACAAAAATAAAACAATAAAATACAATTCTCACGACGTTTCGGCCACAACGCAAGCAGCCGTCCTCAGGTGAAGAACAGGGCTGTCGGAAAGACAGCGTCTTTCACCTGAGGACGGCTGCTTGCGTTGTGGCCGAAACGTCGTGAGAATTGTATTTTATTATGTTTTATTTTTGTTATTTTATTATTTCCCTTCTACGTGACTTTACCGAAAGAACCCCCCCCCCCTCGTCACACATCGTCACAAATGTCTGACCCCTCCCCCCCCCCCAGGTACGTGACGTCATTTATGGACGATCCCTAAAGCAATGTACATGTTTGTATGGACGCAGTATTTGTATATAAATACATTAGTGTGTAGGTCAAAAACGCCGTGGTTTCTAAACTTTCTCGAATCGCCCTCTCTGTGTGAACGAGTTATGGTCGTAATCAATGAATTCAAGTAAGCGTTACAAAACAC